ACCATATATTTTATTTAAAAACAATAAGACTCTCCTAGCCACGTACGGGAGTCATGTAGCACGTCTGATACGAATCAAAAAACATACCAGAATGCTACGTAGGTGGATGTGGAACACATTCTATTGCAGACCTCTTTTGAACAAGGGCGTGCACGTCAGGTTAATTTTAGGTGCGACGGTCCTCTTCGTCAGCTGATTCCAAACCATCTACCTCGTTCTTAGGTGACAGAACAAGCGTTTCAATTTCTTTATCCGTCACATTTATCTAGATGCGACGGACCATTATGTGATCGGCATCCGCTTTAAAGCACTACGCATTGAGTACACTCATTTCCTTCGTAGCCTCCTGGCATACTTTCGCGTGCAAAATGCCCCCCAATTGCCTTTCTGCCGAACTGTGTGTACCTAAAGCAAGGTTAACCGCGTAAAGCAACGGATACATCGAATAAAAGAAGATTGTAAATTTAATTACAAATACGTCACAAACAAAGACACGATTACGAAGTCACGGCAAGACAGAGCAAAACACGTGATTATATACATGGAACGAGGCGAGGGGTTTGTAGCTCAAGATGAAAGAGCAATGTATTTGCGTTAAGGCCTTCTCTATTATGCGGGTTCAAATCCCGCCGAATGCCGCGAGTTTTTTTTAAAATTGGGCCAACTAAAGTTAAGCATATCTAGTTGACCCAGTTGTGAAAAAACTCGCAACATTCGTCGGGATTCGAACCCGCATAGGAGGGAGGCCTTTTACGCAAGCCAACGCTCTTACTTCTCGAGCTACGAAGGTCGAGCTTCACACTAGATTAACTAACTAACTAACAACTTATTAACAACTCAATTAACCAAATCTGCCAAACCAACTTAATACTTAAGCATATCTGCCGAACCTCCAAAATAACAAAATTAAATTCGCGATTTACGCGCCTCGACACAAGCGGTACAACAAGCAAGCCGACCATTGAGAACACAGATCGATAAAATCGATTAACTAATGACATGCCACTGCATTATATCCATTGTATGCCGACCAATAATAGATT